GAAACGAGGAGACTATCTGTATACGGTCAAAATCGATTTTGCCCTTCGTATAATTAGTCGAGATTGGAACATGACGGACCGAGGGTCGTCATTATAATATCGAGATGATATATGATGCCAGGTTATTGAGCTCAAGATTCAGGGACCGATTAATACCGAGCTCGAAGTCAATATCGAGCTCAAGTCCAAATCGAACTATGATGTGAAGTGATGTTATCGAGCTCGAGATCCAGACCGATCAATACCGAGCTCGAATCGATATCGAGCTCGAGTCAATACCGAGTTTGAGTCAATTTCGAGCTCGAGATCCAGAGATCGACCAATACCAAGACCGACCAAGATCGAGCTAAGAGACAAAGAGCCGTTATAGCCGCACCAGGGGAGAGAATCTCGGCGTGAATTAAGGAAAAACTAATTAACTAATCTATCATGGGATCCCCATTATGTATTTTTAATTATATCTAAAGTAGGATTCCTCCACTATATGAAGGGTGGCTATCATTTCTGTAAGGGACATTCAACATTGAAGATTGAGCCATCAATACACTCTCACATTTCAAAGATTATTGATATTTACACAGATATATAGCAGAGACTATCCTTTTTTTTGGGCTTTGGATATTGATTCATCTTGCTTTTTTATAAATCATTCTCTACTTAATTTCTTTTGTATTTTCATTACTTTTTTACAGTAAATATTCGATATATTTTTACTTATTTTTTTAATTTGTACCAAGTTATACCACGTATCCTTAGAACTACGTATAAATTCAACTTTATCCATTTTTCGGGTAAACAATTATATTAGATGGTCTGTATTGTTTTTAGGTTACCAATAAATACTAATCATGAGCAAATAGTGTAAAATTTATTTACATTTTTTGTTTTCAAGTTACTAATTTGAATTTATTTGATCTTTAACCAAAAAAGAAAAAGAAAAAACAAACCATCGTTACAACTCCACGGTGTAACTTTTTTTCTCTCTTAACTCGACAAAAAATAATAACAACTACAAACTCATTGTAATTTTACAAGTAGGGTCTGAGAAAAGTAGTGTGTGTGGAGATCTTATCCCTACCTCAAGAAGGTAAGTAGAGAGACTGTTTCAATAGACTCTCGGCTCAAGAAAAAAATATGAAAAAAGAAGCAATAGCAATAAGCAGTAATAATAACAAAATAACAAAAAAATTGAACCGAAAGAAATAACAGGTAATAATAAAAATCTACGATAAAAAAATACAAGATTACAATAATTTCCTCCTAATTCGACCGCTTAAAAAGAAAGAAATAGTTTCAAGGCAAAAAGCGTTGGTAGTATGGATTTGACAAATTCAAAAGCAGAAAAAATTCCGTTAATCTTCCATTATCTAATGTACTTCATCTTTTCTGTTTTGTTTTGTTTTTGTCTTTTGCGTTTGCTCTTTTTTCCAGTTTTGTTGTGTGTATTTTGGCTACCATACAAATAGCAAAGTTTAACGTTCAACTGTACTTACACGAGCATGTGTCAAGCTCGAGTAGTGAATAACAATTAATTATGGCGGACAAATAGTCCATGAGTCCAACACCCCCCTTCAAGTTGGAGGGATAACATCTGCAACTTGCGAAGAAATTGGTGATGAAGCAGCCCAGTTAAAAGTTTTGTGAGAAAATCAACAAGTTGCTTTGAAGTGGAAATATGAGAAAGTTAAATGAAATCATTAGAAAGTTTCCCTCGAACAAAGTGATAATCAACCTCAATATGCTTTATCCGCTCGTGAAAAACGGGATTTTTGGCAATATGAACAACTGCTTGGTTGTCACAAAATACAGAAATAGGATAAGAGACGTGAACACCAAAATAAGCTAGAACCCGTGCAAGCCAAGTCAATTCAGCCACCACCTTGCTGAGGGCTCTATATTTAGCCTCAGCACAAGATAGAGACACTACGAGTTGCTTCTTAGACTTTCAGAGATTAAGCTATCACCCAAAAACACACAGAATCCAGTAACAGACCTCCTGGTGTCCGGACAGGCTACCCAATCACTGTTTGAATAGGCTGAGATAGTGAAATCAGAGGAGTTCGAGTAGAATAAGTGAAGATCAGGTGTACCCTTGAGGTACCTCAGTATATGTAGAGCAACAAACATATGAGGGACTCTTGGAGATTGAAGAAACTGACTAAGATGTTGCACCCCAAAACAAATATCAGGCCTAGTGCGGGTTAGGAATAACAACTTTCCAACCAGACTCCTATATCTCTCAGGTTGAGCCAATAGATCACCATAATCAGCTTTCAGTTTGGAGTTTAAGTCCAAAGGACAAACAACAGAAGCAACCTCTAGACAATCAAATTCCCTCAAAAGATCAGATACAAATTTCTTCTAATTTAGAAGCACACCACCAGGTAAAGAAGAAACCTCAATCCCCAAAAAATAATGAAGAGTGCCCAGATCTTTGTTTTTGAACTGGGCATCCAGAAATGACTTCAAAGTAGTAATTTCAGCAAGATCATCCCCAGTTAATATTATATCATCAACATAGACAACAATGATAACCATATGACCAGGAGAACCCTTGATAAACAGTGAGTAGTCATTAAGAGAATGAGTATAACCTCTAGAGTAGAGGGCTTGAGAAAGCTTAGCATACCATTGCCTCTAGGCTTGTCTCAAGCCATAGAGGGACTTTTTAAACGACAAACTAAGGTAGAAGAGGAAGAAGATGGGGCAGTAGTGACAGAAAGACCAGGAGAAAGCTTCATATAAACTTCCTCATCCAAATCACCATGTAAAAATACATTGTTAACATCTAATTGAAATAAAGACCAACCATTCTAAACTGCAACGACCACCAGACACTTAAAAGTGGACATATTTACAACAGGGGAAAAAGTTTCATTAAAGTCTACCCTCTATGTGGGTGTCACCCCCTAATAACAACCCTAGATTTATACCTTTCGATAGTGCCATCAGCCTTATACTTAATCTTATAGACCCACTTACAACCAATAGGTTTCTTCCCACCTGGCAATGCAACAATGTCCCAAGTGTGATTGACCTCTAGGGCCTCAAACTCTTTCCTCATAGCATCCTGCCAAGCTGGTATAGGTGCAACTTGGGAATAAGTAGTGGGTTCAAAAGTAGCAGGAGGAGTTAGAGTAGTGATGCAAGAGAAGAAAGGTGGAAAATGGCAAACATAATCAGTCAAGTAGGGAGGAAATTGATGAGTTCTGTTAGACCTTGTGAGAGGGCCATCAGCAGGAGGAGCTGTTGTAGGAACAGTGGAAGGAATAATAAGTGAAAGAGCTGAATCACAAACAAGAGAAGAAATAGGATCAGAGGGAAGAGAGGGTGAATCATAAATAGGAGAAGAAAGTGAAGCAGGAACAAGAGAAGTAAAAGCAGAAGTGGGAGGAACAAGATCATGAGTGGGAGAAGTAAAAGGAACAGAATCAGAAGGAGAAGAAGGTGGTGGGAATGTAACATGGGTTTGGGAAATAGGGGAGGAAGAAGAAAAGGGGAAGACATCTTCATGAAATACCACATCCCTGGACACAATAAACTGCTTGGTTTCTAGGTTATAAAGTTTATAACCCTTCTTGGCAAAGGGATAACCAAGGAAGACACAAGACATCACTCTGGTTTTCAATTTGTCCCCACGAGCAATAGGTACGGTAGCATAAGCCAGACATCCAAAGGTTTTTAAGTGAGAATAAGAAGGAGTTTTATTGTAAAGGACTTCAAAAGGTTACTTATTGTGAAGAAGCCTAGATGGAAGTCTGCTGATGATATAAGTTGCTGTGAGCAAACAATTCCCCCAAAACCTAATAGGAGCCTTGGATTGGAAAAGCAAATCTCTACAGGTCTCAAGTAAGGTTCTATGCTTCCTTTCAATCACCCCATTTTGTTATGGTGTATGGGGACAAGTAGTTTGATGGATAATACCATTGTTAGAGAAATAAGAAATGACAGAATGGCTACCCCCAAGTTCTAGGGCATTGCCACTCCTAATTGTTTGGATAGTAATGTGAAATTGAGTTTTGACCATGGCCACAAAAGCTTTAATAAAGGAAAATGCATTACTTTTGGAACCCATTAGATGAGTCCAAGTAGATATAGAAAAATCATCAACTATGGTTAGGAAATATCTAGAACCAGAATGTGTAGGAGTGTGGTAGGGTCCCCAAGTATCCACATGTATGAGTTGAAAAGGATGAGTACTATGAATGGAACTATCAGGGAATAGGACTCTGGTTTGTCTAGCCATAGGACATATTTCACAAGGAAATTGTTGCTTAGAAGATAAAGAGGAAGATATAGCATATATGCCCTTCATTCTAAAAATAAAAAGAACACGTCAAGTCTTTGGTGCCAAATAATGTCCATTTTATTCAATGCAACTTCATTATAAGGTGGAACATATTGAGACAAAGCATTTTGAGAAGAACTAGAATTACACAATGAAGAACCAGAACTAGGATCAACAATACTAGAAGGTAAAGATGGAAAGCTACATGTAGTAGGCATAGTAAAAATATTTTGAGTTGAAGAAGAAAATGCAGTAGTAGGGCTGCTTATCGGGCGGATTGGCCGGTTATTTACTCTTAACGGTTTGGCTTATCGGTTATCAATTTTTAAATGTATTAATCCGCTAGCCACCCGATAAGATATTGGGCGGATTGGTATCGGTTTAGCTCTTATCGGGCGGTTATCATGCGGTTTATCGGGCTAATTCAATCTATATTGCGTGTATTAATTGTTTGCTGACCGTTGTGACTCAAAATAAAATTCCTATGCTCAACAGACTACATTCCAGTCTATAAAATACCATAGATGAGTCCTTTACATACCAAAGCAGACTACATTACAGATGAGTCCAGAATACATGTCTTTCCTCCGCTCACAACTGCAAAGGAAAAGTCAATGCTCCCTGATTAATTTTGAAATGATAAAATTCCAGTCTATATTCAAAGTGAGTCCAGAATACATATTTTAAAATGATTAATCCATAAATGAGCAGACTACACAGAAATGTTTGGCCTGCAGCTAACGCCTAACAGTGCTTGAATTTCTGCAACTTCAAAGTTCAAACAATAGCTTAATCCATAAGTGAGTAGATCCCTGTAAAAAATATGCATACACCAAATTTCAGCATTAGGCAACGAAGTAGAGACCGTGATAAATACTACTGTCTTGATTCTTGTTTGATGTTTAGATGACTTTTCTCATACATATATATGGATATAAATAAATTATATATATTCTTAACAGGTTAACGAATTATCCGTTAAGAAAATTGAATAATGCGCCCCCAAACCGATAAACTATTAATAAAAAAATTTTAATATGTTTCCCGTCCGTTAAACCATTAACCCGATACCAATAAGCCATTAAGTTTAGGTATCGGTTCGATTTTCGGTTTCGGTTTGGTTTTGAACACCCCTAGGCAGTAGTGCAGGAAAACTTGTAAAGCCCATCCTCTTACTTACCAAGATCCAGAGGCATCTTCAGAGAAGGGCCCTGTAGCAAGCATGAGTCAGAACTAAACTGTGCTATGCATCTCAATAACAAAACAAGTTTGTGCACAAAAATCAGATTATGTTTAAAAAAAGGAATGTAAAGAACATCAGGAAGAATAATGGAAGGATATAAAGAAAAAAACCCAATGCAAGTAACTTTAAATTTATATTCATTAGAAAGTGTGACAAGGTAAGGAATAGAGAAAAGTGTAATATTGGTTAGAAAGTCCTTGTTATAAGTTATGTGGTCAGATACTCCAGAATCAATAATCCATTTATTAGGTGAGGACTGACTCAACATGTAAGCTAGAGAACTAGTCACTACTTTGGGAATGAGCACATTACCAATAAAACTGGCAGAAGCCATGAGGTCAGACTGAGGTGCAGAATCAGATACATGTGTCACGACCCAACTGGAGGGTCATGACTAGCACCCGGGCCATACTTGCCGAGCACCAACGTACATTTTATCTAACCTTCCTTATTATCTTTAAGGGCCGACAAGACCAATATAAATGGAAGACATGGATCATGAACATCCAACAATGAAAGATAATGTCATGAACATACGTAACATGGGACGACAAGACTGTCAAGAAACTATATATAAGGTACGAGCTACCATGGTGCCATGAAAGACTATACAACAAAAATCAGCCGACAAGGCATTCCAAACCATACATGAGTCGACACCTGTCTATGAGCCTCTAAAAGAACATAAGTGCTACAACATTGCCGGAACAGGGCCCCGACATACCCATAATGTCTATAACAAAAATGCATACCAAGACCACGGCAAGTCCGGAGAAGGGATCTCGCCAATAACCGCTGAACTGGACAGCCTACTGTGGTGGGGGAGCTGCGTCTACCTGTCTATCAGGACCTGCAGCACGACATGCAGCGTCCACAAATAAAAAGGACGTCAGTACGAATAAAGTACTGAGTATGTAAGGCAGAATAGCATAAGTAAGAACAATAATGTAAACAGTGATAGGGAATATACAACCTGTGACATCTGGGTACCTCTGAGGGCTACTGACATGAAATACATGATACATACATATATATATACATAAACGTTTAAAACATATGCCTTTGTGGGCATCATCATCATCATATCGTACCCGGCCATAATAGGCTCGGTAAAACGTACCCGGCCATCATAGGGCTCGGTAGAATCGTACCCGGCCACGTGGAGCTCGGTAAAACCCAACTGATCAGTGGTTGCACAATAGGTGCCATACCCGGCCGACTATAGCGCGGCTCGGTAGAGTAAAATAGATACATATATATGATGCATGCTGGACTCATTGGAATCACATTTTGAACCTTTCAGAGTGACGTAAGGTCGGTATCCTTCGTACACGTTATTAGGATTAACTCTTCATCAAGAATCTTATAAGAATCAGGAACTACCAACAACATTGATAATATAAGAATAAGAGAAGTAACATCAATATCAATCGTTTCATAAGAAGGGCAGCAATGTAAGTACTGCTAGCTTCTAAGAGTAGAGTATCTTTGGGAGCTCGTTCATTACATTATGTACAATCGGAGTCGTGCAAAAGAAAGAAGGGGATAGCCTCACATACCTTGTATATACTTTCCAACCTCAAGCTATGAAAATGTCATGACTCCTTAGTGTACAATAAGACAAATGACACTATCATTATTATTTAAGCGTCGTAACTATTATGTATCGACCGCAACCTATTTTACGATAAAACGGACAGAACCTCCCCTATTTATATGACTTCCCACAAGTCAATACAATCACCATACAGCCCAAACAACATCATTAATAATCATATTGAGCCTCCAAAACCGTCCACCAACCAATAACATTACTACCAAGCCTTTCGATATATATTTCACAAGTTCTAGCTTCAACGACTTAGC